TTGCAGGACGCGCGCATGCACATCCTGGCGTTCGCGGCGTGCGTGCGGCACGGGCTGGTGCCCAACCTGCTGGCCGGCGGGCGCCGCGCGCGGTACAACTGCCGCGACGCGTCCTGGTGGTGGCTGCACGGCGTGCGCCAGTACTGCGCGGCGGCCGGGCCGGCGCTGCTGGCCGAGCCGGTGGCGCGCCTGTTCCCGGCCGACGACGCGGCCGCCGCGCCGCCCGGCGCCGCCGACCAGCCGCTGCACGACGTCATGCAGGAGGTGCTCGACGTGCACTTCCAGGTTAGCACCTTTCTTTCTCTACTCCCTCTATCTTATGAACCCTTCGACAGATTGAGACCGACTGTCGATCTTTTAACCTACATAAAATCATGACTAGAAATTACGCGTGCGTGGAACACGTTATAGATTACTCGTGTGGCCGACGACGTTTCGTTTTTAATTTGTTATGACTAGAGCACACAATACTGCAGAAACCCCACTCCGTGAATCCACTCCCTTAAATCGCGACTGTTTTCATTAAGCAATAAAGTGCAATTTATGTCGCTTATGCGTTCAATACCTATTAAGTTATCCGACTATACGATACTTGTCGCTGTAGGTACGGTCGAGTGCCTTAGGGACAAGGCCCGGTTTTCTAATGACTCACATCGTTCACAGGGGCTCGTATTCCGAGAGCGGAACGCCGGTCGCACCATCGACGCTCACATGTCGGATAAAGGCTTCAACGTGCAGATCGGGATCGATCCCGAGACCGGATTCCCGTTCGGGGGCAACGACGCCAACTGCGGGACCTGGATGGACAAGATGGGGTCGTCCGAGCCGGCCGGCAACCGGGGCAAGCCGGCCACTCCGCGCGACGGCAGCGCCGTGGAGCTGGTCGGGCTCGCGCACGGAGCCTCGCGGCCCTGGGCCGACTACCAACTGCGCTGCAACTTCCCCATCGCCATGGCCGTCGCGCCCGAGCTCTTCGATCCCAAGCACGCGTGGCTGGCGCTCGACAACGTCGAGAAACTGCTGCTCGGGCCGCTCGGAGTCAAGACGCTGGATCCCGCCGACTGGGCGTATCGCGGAGATTACGACAATTCCAATAACGGAGACGACCCCAGCGTCGCGCATGGATTCAACTACCACCAGGGACCCGAGTGGGTGTGGCCTCTCGGCTTCTATCTGCGCGCGCGGCTCGCCTTCGCCCAGCAGGCGGGGCGCCACGCCCGCACTCTGGCCTCCGCCTACGCGGCGCTGGCGCCCCTCCTGGCCGAGCTGCGCACGTCGCCCTGGCGCGGCCTGCCCGAGCTCACCAACGCGGGCGGCGCCTACTGCAACGACTCCTGCCGCACGCAGGCGTGGAGCTCCGCCACCGTCCTCGAGGCCCTGCACGACCTGCAGCAGGCGGCCCGCGCGCGCCCGCTGACTGACTGACGCGCGCGCCGCCTGCGCCCCGCCCCCGCGCTCTACGCCACGCCCTACGAGCCCGCGCGCCGCCGGCCGCTGGCCGCGCTG